GCATGTTGGCTCCAATCGTAATATTTTGAAGTAAAAAATCTAGGATGTCTCTATGGACCATTACTTACGGACCACCCTGTATACATGTCTTATATTTTCTTTGACAGTTTGCACAATGTTTTAATTTATTTACTGACCCTCCACAATGGTTAGTCAAGATTGCCATGAAACCAGTGCATATTCATGGTTTTTCTCTATTATATTTACTAGACAGGCTAAGGAAGCACCTTCACAACATGAAGTGTGACACACCTATTTGTAGGAGTTGTGGACAGGAAGACGAGACAGTACTACATGTGCTATATGAATGCACTGCTGTCTCATCAGTAAGAGAATCTGTGTTGGCAGAATGTTGCCCTTCTATTAGAGAGATACCCCTGAACAACGTAACCACTATTTTCTCTGTATTAGGTTGGTTAGCGGCTCAGTGGATTGATCTATTGGGAGGAAGTACAAGGAACCCAATGGGGCCTAAGTGCTATAGCTTTTTAAGCTACCCTCCCTAGAATTCCAGATTCCAGGGCCTCAATTCTTGAATTACAGGGAGTAGAAGGAACGAGAGAAAGGGGGCGTGTGTCTACTAAAACTCATTAATCGGTATTTTTAAATGGTGTTCTATTGAGTAATGATAGAAGAATTGTTCCCTATTTCTTCTACTGATATTTTTGGGGGAACAGGCAGGGATTATTAAACCTAACCTTATATTTTTGACATGTTTGACAAATTACGAAGTCCATAATCTGTGTGATATCTCTAGTTACTGTTTTGTGGTGATATCCTTCGAGAACTTTGAGGAAACGATTGTATAATTTGTGTTTACTGGACGGACTGTACACGGTTAAAATAATGATAGAATAAAATGGATATGCCTAATATGGTATTGTAGGATGAAATAATCAACAAAATATTTGTTAAATTCTTCCCAGTTAGCCCTCATTTTCTCTCTAGTGTAGCTGGGTGTTAACTTTCCAGTGTACATTTGTTTTTTACCCTCAATATATTTTATTAGAAGTTCTTTTTCTTTAGAACTTACTGGATTTAACTTCGGTTTTTTATTAATTTCCATTTTCTTTCCTTTTTAGACTGCACCCGACACTGACAAACAAATAACAATAACTCTAAACAAAGGACCGCTTATTTCATGACTAGTTCATTGCTAGTTTTTATTCTACCGCCTGTTTACAGCTTTCTGATTGGACGGTACCTACATTTGACAACATTGTTCCTCAACTCCTGTGAGAAGTAATAAAAATTATTTCTTTAATATTGTCTTAATAACCAATGGTTGTTTGCAAAATATTAGACAAAAGTTATTATTTTTGATGCATGAAGCTCATGGTAAAAATGCTGACATTTATTTCTGGGACATCCTGTATACAAGGCATACATAGGTGGTCTATCCACTTCTTTCAGTTAAGTCTTCCTGAGGATGTAAAATCTTTTATCTGTAATGATTTGACTTAAGGTACTAAACAATCTAAGCTAATTAATCTACATACTTATTTTATATAGATTATTGCACATCTAAAAGTTTTTCAATTTCAATTAAAGATTAAGTCCCCTCTCCACTTTTTGGGTTCTGTATATGCCATTAAAAAAGTAATTGCAATTACCCTCAATAAATCGATCATGTCCTTTTACCCCTCAATGATAGACCCCGCAGGTACCTTATGGAAAATGGCTTTCAGCCAATATTTTGAAACTTTGGATTTGAATAGTTCTCGAAGCGTAGAAAAAAAGTTATCATAGGCACTAAGCTGAGAAAATTATATTTTCCGAGATATAGTCGATGAATGCTAGGAGTTGTAGCACCACGAGGTATAAATTAAAGAAGACTCTTAGCTTATAAGGTCAAATGAAAAGAAGCCGTACAATCTGTACCAAACACATGTTCCTTACTTTATTGGGGTCACTCAATCCGAATCTGCCATCCATTCGGCTGTGCGAATGAGTTTCAAGGTCACATCAAGATCAAATGAAGGTCATTGTAAGATCATTGTAAATGTAATCTGTCCCAAACATATGTAATCGTATTATAATATCTAATGCAATTATTAATTAATTATTTGCATTATATGTAGCATTTAATAGTGAATCATCTGGGTACTTCACATGTGGTTGATGGCGGGCATAGCCTAGAAACCAAAAAACACTGGCTACATGAGCACAAGTTCATACTACTCTCGCCCTTGAGTAACACGTGCAATAATATGCTAGGATTGGACCATTATCTTGATCACCATAATTATCTGTCTTCATCCACATTGACATAACTAATGAATATTTGATGTCTTGCAACATTTCGGAATCTTGAGAAAATTCGTACTCTTAGAAGTCCTGGTTCATTCAACTGAAATTCATCATCATTTTCCCTAAGCACCTTCTGTATACTGTATACCCTGTATAGCATCTGTATACCCGAATGGATGGCTGATTCGGATTCAGTAACCCCCGATAATCTAAGAAATATGTGTTTTGGACAGATTGCACGGCTTCTCTTCATTTGACCATACGATGAGTCTTCTTCAATTTATACCTCGCGGTACTACCTTTCGGCGACTATATTTGGAAAAATATAATTTTCTCAGCTTAGTGCCTATGACAACTTTTTTATTTAAGCTTCGAGAACTATTCAAATCCAAATTTTCAGAACTATCGGCTGGAAGCCATTTTCCATATGGAACCTGCGGGNGTTTACTGGACGGACTGTACACGGTTAAAATAATGATAGAATAAAATGGATATGCCTAATATGGTATTGTAGGATGAAATAATCAACAAAATATTTGTTAAATTCTTCCCAGTTAGCCCTCATTTTCTCTCTAGTGTAGCTGGGTGTTAACTTTCCAGTGTACATTTGTTTTTTACCCTCAATATATTCTATTAGAAGTTCTTTTTCTTTAGAACTTACTGGATTTAACTTCGGTTTTTTATTAATTTCCATTTTCTTTCCTTTTTAGACTGCACCCGACACTGACAAACAAATAACAATAACTCTAAACAAAGGACCGCTTATTTCATGACTAGTTCATTGCTAGTTTTTATTCTACCGCCTGTTTACAGCTTTCTGATTGGACGGTACCTACATTTGACAACATTGTTCCTCAACTCCTGTGAGAAGTAATAAAAATTATTTATTTAATATTATCTTAATAACCAATGGTTGTTTGCAAAATATTAGACATAAGTTATTATTTTTGATGCATGAAGCTCATGGTAAAAATGCTGACATTTATTTCTGGGACATCCTGTATACAAGGCATACATAGGTGGTCTATCCACTTCTTTCAGTTAAGTCTTCCTGAGGATGTAAAATGTTTTATCTGTAATGATTTGACTTTAGGTACTAAACAATTTAAGCTAATTAATCTACATACTTATTTTATATAGATTATTGCACATCTAAAAGTTTTTCAATTTCAATTTACAGATTAAGTCCCCTCTCCACTTTTTGGGTTCTGTATATGCCATTAAAGAAGTACTTTATTATATCTGAAGTAATTGCGGTCTGGGTAATGCAATTACCCTCAATAAATCGATCATGTCCTTTTACCCCTCGATGATGGAACCCGCAGGTACCTTATGGAAAATGGCTTTCAGCCAATAGTTTTGAAACTTTGGATTTGAATAGTTCTCGAAGCGTAGATAAAAAGTTATCATAGGCACTAAGCTAAGAAAATTATATTTTCCGAGATATAGTCGATGAAAGCTAGGAGTATATAGCACCGTGAGGTATAAATTAAAGAAGACTCTTAGCTTGTAAGGTCAAATGAAAAGAAGCCGTACAATCTGTACCAAACACATGTTCCTTACGTTATCGAGGTCACTCAATCTGAATCTGCCATCCATTCAGCTGTGCGGATGAGTTTCAAGGTCACATCAAGATCAAATGAAGGTCATTGTAAGATCATTGTAAATGTAATCTGTCCCAAACATATGTAATCGTATTATAATATGTAATGCAATTATTAATTAATTATTTGCATTATATGTAGTATTTAATAGAGAATCATCTGGGTACTTCACATGTAGGCTTGCCAGGTCTCCGGAGTTTTCGGGTTTTGATGGTACATCTCCGGGCTCCGGATTAATATGTCATTTCTCCGGGTTAAGACGTCCTACCCCCAAAATTTATTTTCCTGAGATCTGTTTTTTTTTAGACATCAATTTGTCAATTGAGCTGCTGTAGACCTTTTTTTTTTTTATAGATCGATTTCCTCGTGAACGATTTGACTTCAAAATTTTTTTTTTTTTTGGAAATCAATTTCTCCGGGTCTGTCATGAAATAGATCTGGCAACCCTATTCACATGTGGTTGATGACGGGCATAGCCTAGAAACCAAAAAACACTGGCTACATGAGCACAAGTTCATACTACTCTCGCCCCTGAGTAACACGTGCAATAATATGCTAGGATTGGACCATTATCTTGATCACCACCATAATTATCTGTCTTCATCCACGTTGACATAACTAATGAATATTTGATATCTTGCAACATTTCGGAATCTTGAGAAAATTCGTACTCTTAGAAGTCCTGGTTCATCTATATGTTCATCCAACTGAAATTCATCATCATTTTCCCTAAGCACCTTTTGTATACTGTATACCCTGTATAGCATCTGTATACCCGAATGGATGGCTGATTCGGATTCAGTAACTCCCGACAATCTAAGAAATATGTGTTTCGGACAGATTGCACGGCTTCTCTTTATTTGACCATACGATGAGTCTTCTTCAATTTATACCTCGCGGTACTACCTTTCGGCGACTATATTTGGAAAAATATAATTTTCTCAGCTTAGTGTCTATGACAACTTTTTTATTTAAGCTTCGAGAACTATTCAAATCCAAATTTTCAGAACTATCGGCTGGAAGCCATTTTCCATAAGGAACCTGCGGGGTCATTTGACAGACATTCTGTATAAAAGTTATATTATAATTTAACGGTATCTTGTAAGCTTGATGGTCTTTTTACATTTGAACCTATTTTGTTCCTAGAGGTAATATAAAATATATTGCATCAGTGGGAAGAAGTATATTGAATCTTGCTAGAATAATACCTGATGGTTTACTGATATTTTTTCCATCATACCCCATAATGCAAAAATTCCAACAATATTGGCAAGAATCTGGACTTTGGACAAATATAAGCCAGCAAAAGGTAGGATCCTTATTTACAAAATATTACTTTACAATATTACAACTTTTTTTGACTAGTTATATTCAAACTGTTAAAAAATATATGTTTTAAAACAGGATATTTTCACATATCATTTCACATCTCGTCGGTCGATAGCTGCACGGTTTAAGGCGTCAGTCCTTTAATCGTGTGCAAATTTCTGCCCGGGTTCGATTCCCGCGGCCGGTAAACCGTAGATTAGCTATGCTTGTACGGAGGATTGGCACCCTCTGTGAAGGTGTGGTAGGGTGGAAGAATGTTGGCTTGGGTAAATGTGAGAGATTGACACCGGTTGGCATTTGACCACCCTCCTAATTAATGAGGTTTTCCAGGTTTCCCTCATTCCTGCACTGAATGGTGGTTAGGGCCTACCAACATAAGTCGTTCCTGGGCGCAAATGCGGCCTGCCTAATAATAATATGCCGCCTCCTCTCCCGCACAAGTCTCTGACTTATGGGCTAATTCTCGTAATTAGAATGAGGAGTAGAGATATTATTATTATTATATTATTATTATTATTATTTATTCATTCACCTCTACTATAAATCAATCAACAAAATCTACTACTGACAAAAATCATACTAATGGGCACAAAAGAGTGTTTTCTACGAAAACAAAATTATTATAGACATTTAATAGCTGAAATATTTTGGGTTTACNGTGCTATGTTTTGCATTAATAAAGTTCATCAGCAATCGCATTACATAAAATTTGATCAATAATTGGTTCATTAAATGTATTGGTATTAGGTATCATAAATGAGCATTTTCACTGTTGATTTTATTTATATAAATTGTTAAACAATATAATAGAAAACTAAAAATATTATTTATTTATTATTAATATGTTCTGCATACTATGTTTAAAAGTTTTTAAACAATATTTTGGACTTATGTAAGTTTTAAAGTGTACATAATAATATTTTATTTAATAGATGTTTAAAAAATATGTCAGATAACAATTTCATAAAAAAAAATTATAATTCATGTTTTGATGCAGTTGTCTGAGGATGGGATAAAACCCGAAACGATCGTAATAAGCAATTTATGGATGAAAAATAGTTTTATAAACTAAGTGGTTATTTTGACCAGTATCCCAGAAAATAAATATTTTGGGGAGTGAATTATATGGTCAGGAAATTATATATATATTTAAGTACTACTATTAAAACAAAATAAAACAAATCATAGCAGATATGAAAAAAATGTGAAGGATAATGTTTTGTGAAAGATGAAATTAAGACCAACTATGTTTTTCTTTGAAGCGGAACTATTTTTAACTGTAACATGCTTAGGCCTTAAATATACAGGGTGATTCATTAATAATGGGACAGAGCTTAATGGCAGGTCACTGACTTCAAAATAGAACGATTAAGCCAAACATGCCTTATCCGAATGTTGCACCTTTTCAATCTACTGTTGTAAAATTTTTTTAAATATCTTGAGTATCTGTTAACCGATTGTTCTGAAATTTTGCATGCCTATATTTTCAGAGGTGGCAATTACGAAAATGTATACTGTTTTGCAATCAGTTCTAGGGGGCACAACTTGTAGTGTTCTGTCAGAGTAAAAATATATCAAACTTTTTTGTCTCTCAAAAATATGAACTTCCAATAAGAAATTATTAAACTACATTCAATTCTAAATAAAAGAGTATACCTCTTAATAATTGAAAGACCTAACTGTTTTCAAGATAAAGACGATTTACAATTTTTTTACAGAATTATTTGTTTCAACATACGACTTTAAATAAGAAGACTTAAACAAAGTAGGCCACTGTCAATGAAATGTTATGTATTGTTTAGGTCAATTCCAAGCAACTTGCAAAGACTAGAAAGTTTGGTTCTCCTGGTATATTTCGGTTCACACAGTTTCTTCATCAGCAACAAAATGCTGACCCTACATTTTATAATAAAATATTATTTACGGAGAAAGCCACATTTACCCGTCGCGGTGTACTTAACTGGAGAAATATTTGGTATAGATTTCTTTACAATAACATTTTGGGACCATTTGTGTTACCATGTCGAATGACTCGCCACTCTTTGAAAATGTCCCCTTAAATTTACCGCAAATCTTTTGGTTTGTGCATGATGGCACTCCCACACATTATTCCCGACCAGTAAGAGAATATCTTGACAGACCTTTTCCAAACTGTGGGATTAGTCGCAGCAAAATTCCCTTGGCCTGTGCGTAGCCTGATTTAAATCAACTGGATTTTTATTTCCGGGATAATGTTAAATCTTTGGTTTATAAAGATGTAATTACATACTCGAGAGCAGCTGTGGGCAAAAATAGAAGAATCTGTTGACACTATAAGCAGAGAATGCATTAGGCGATCGCGGTCCCGTCGCATTGCGGTCCGTGCTAGTCTCAATCGCGCGCGGTGGAGTTCCTTCCCATGTTTTCTAATGTATGCATTCGCACTAGACGTTCGTAAGCTTGTCGCGCTCGCATCGCGTTCTCCACCGATCTTTTCCAAAGAATCTCGGCACACCGTGATTCGATCGAGACAAGCTTCCTCTTCCATATAACTCATTTTTTTAACTACTAAAACAATACCTCAACGATTTAAAGAAGAGCGCGAGCAGGATTGTGTACAATTGCCAAATGCGACTGATTTTGTAAAAGACCGCGATCAGCTCAACCCAGAACAGACCGCGACGCGATGGGACCGCGACCGAATAATGCGTTCTTTGCTTTAGAGATCAATAAAGAACTCTATTCAAGGTGAAACTTAATTTTAATGAGAGACTAAAAAAGTGTATTGAAGTCAATAGTGATCACTTTAAGAATCTTTTGTAATTCGTAAATTAGATGTAAGCATAATAAAATTTTCAGTTGATATTGTGTTTCCCTTAATTCGTAATTAAGGCCTACCCTGAAACAAATAATTTTCTGATTTAATTTCCACTGAAACCCAAAAATTGTAAATTCGAAAACGGTTAAGTTTTTCGATTATTAACAGGCATACTTTTTTTTATTTAGAATTGAACATAGTTTAATAATTTCTTATTGGAAGTTTAGATTTTTGAGGGACAAAAAAGTTTGATATATTTTTACTCTGACAGAACAGTACAAGTAGAGTCCCCTAAAACTGATGGCAAAATAGTTATCATTTTTGTAATTACCACGTCAGAAAACATAGGCATACAAACTTTCAAGATAATAATTTCAAAGATGCCCAGGGTATTTAAAAAAATCGAAAAAAAATCTCAAATTTAACACCCTGTAGATCGGAAAGGTATAACATTCGGATAAGGCATGTTTGGCTCAATCGTTCTATTCTGAAGTCAGCAACCTGCCATTAAGCTCTATCCCATTATTAATGAGTCACCCTGTAAGTATAACTGATATGATGTGACAATTTTCAAAAACCAAATATTTCCAACCCAACAATATGGCCATTTTAGAAACTTCCTGGGGGTGATCGGGTTCAAATACATGCGCATTTGCTGAGCGAGTTAATTTGGTTTTGAAAACTGTCAAATTAATTAAAGTCTACACTTGATATTGGATTACTATACTTATACCACATTCATTTGTTATACCGCTAGATCCATTACCCTCTTCTTCTTATACAAAGTAATTTGACAGATATTGTATTTCTTATAAACAAGATCTGCTCAAAAAACAGGCATCCATTAAGTGTGTAGGATGAATCATAACAAATACAAAAAAATTCAGAGGGTTTAAAAAATTTGCAAGGTACGTAGTTATATAACAATTGAAGTCTATATGTTTGGAATTGTGAAGATCTCAAGTAGAATATTTCATTATCATCATCATCATCATTGTCTTTGTCATCATTATCATTATAGTCGTCATCATCATCATTATAAATGCCATCATCATCTCTAGTTTTACAGTCATTATCATCATCATCCCTGTCATCGTCATTGTCATCATCATTATCCATCATCATTTGGTGATCTATCTTCCTCTGATTTTTTCAAACTTGTTCTGTATATTAAACAATCTAGTTACAAGGTGCTGAATTTTGAAGAAATTTATGATCGCTTATATCAGCTAAAACAGGAAGAGAAATTTCTCACACTTTGACAGTATGGGCTATGAACCACATAAAAATATCTAGTTTGATTTTTGCTGTTTACTCTGCTGTGCTATGTTTTGCATTAATAAAGTTCGTCAGCAATCGCATTACATAAAATTTAATCAATAATTGGTTCATTAAATGTATTGGTATTAGGTATCATAAATGAGCATTTTCACTGTTGATTTAAATAGGATCTCAAATGTATTTGTTATAATTGAAGATTCGCTGTAGCCAAATATGTTATAACCAAGGTTAACTGTATGTTTTAGATGATATATGTAGAACCCAAAGATAAAACTGCTTTCAATAGTACGATGGAAGAGTATTACATGAAAATAAAAGATGTCAGCGCAAAAGGAGCCATATTTATGGGTGTTTGTAGAGGAAAAGTTTCTGAAGGTCTAGATTTTGCGGATGCAAATGGCAGAGCTGTTATTGTGATAGGATTACCTTATCCTCCTTTGATGGATCCTAAAATAGTATTGAAAAAGCAATACTTGGATCTGTGCCACACTGCAGATAAAGAGGTATCTACCGTTATTTACTTGTAGTAACGAGGCTAATAATTTGGAAAATATTGATTATTTTAAGGAAATTTGATTTTTATAATAATAAGACACTGATGTAGTTACGGAGTTTTGTTCACATTTAAATCACTCCAAACTCTACTCCAATGGCAGAACATATGTTTTCGGTTCAGATTGAAATCTTGTTTCTTTTTTCTAAAAAAGAGATGCTCTTGACAAAAGTCGCTAGATATCTCTTTTTTTTGATATATTTGGATTTTTTTAGTTAGGATTGTCTTATGAAATTACATCACTATTATATAATAATAAATTATAGGATTAAGAAAACATTGCAAGTTTATAAACAATATTGAGAGTTGATGTTATATCTGTCTGTCTATCTGTATGTCGGGGTGGTGGAATTGTCTTTCAACTGCGGCACTTAGGCCTTTATTAGGCCCCTTGTACACCCTCTTTCATTACTTCTTCAAACCATCCTATTCCTACACGGGTGGCTTGTTGGCAAAGTATCGTACAATTTTTATGTATGTTGTCTTGAGTTACAGAGATTTATTGCTCTATTCTCATTACCATTTTTATCGGGGACCACATTCATACGGAAGGTGTTGAGCGACCTAGGCCTCTGGTAGGTCCCGAGCCTGCCTTAGGTCACCCATTCAAATTCCAGCCTGCGTCTGTGATGCTTAACTCGGCTTATTGAAATCCACCGGCCAAGATACCCGGCTAGGTGGTCCCCTTTGATGTTATGTCAAACCAGTTTGATTATTTGTTTACAGTGTTGTGCAACTACTACAGTTTATGTAGTTTGGATTTTGTAACAGAAAAATATACAAATAAAAAATTTAAATACTAAAATGAGACAAAAACAATAATTTATAAATAATTTAATTTCATCAAAATAATGTGCATTTTCTTAATGCAGAGATGACACTGATTTCTTTAACAACCCTAAAAAGAAAATCTAGAACATTGTGATTGGATGTTCGAATGAGCCAAGCAACTGAGCCTTTCGCCATAGACAGAATTTAACCATTCTCGAATTTGCCGCCCATAATGTGCAGAATAGCCATCTAATTGTATCCATGCATTTCTTCTCTCATTATTACCTGCCACGTTATAATAATTCGTTTCTAAAAATTCAAAAAATATAACATCAATATATTGGGTAAATCGTAAGGTCCATAATTAAAATTGCAAAACCCTAGACACAGTTCGTTATCACCTGTATTTTCAAAACTGTAAAATCACAGCCATTTTTTAAAAAAAATTAACACACCGAAAATGCTTTTGTAATTTTTAACATCTAATCTAAATATACAGGGTGATTCAGCTAAAACTCCGCGGGCTAATTACTTGGAAACAAAAGAAGATATATACGTTCTACGAGTTCTATTTGTTAAATATACAGAGTGATTTTATTTTTGTGTAGAAATAATGCCATTGGGATGGACGTCGCCGGCGTCGGGACGCCGAGAAAATATTTTTTCATTGCAGGAACTTTAAAAATATAACTATCTAAAAGTAAAGTCTTTTTTCAACGTTTTTTGTCATATACACTTTTTCGTCAACATTAGTATTTTTTGAGATATCCCATTATTTATTTTGAACACCATATTTTTTTAAATACAGTTTCGTTGACTTTTACTTGAAATATTAGGAATTAATAAATCGGTATGATTTGAAAAAAAGAATTTTAAGTTCAGAAATTTTGCAAAAATAATATCACTAATAAGTACTGAATAAAGGTACAAAGTACATCTTACTATTGTTAAAGAATATTAACTTACTAATAAACTTTTATTCAAGAAAATTAAAATAAACTATAAGTAAAAATGATTAAAATGAATTAGTACACTAAAGGAGCTGTTCAAAATTTTCTCCATTTTGGTAGATACACATTTCGAATCGTCGTCTCAGTGCGGTATCACAGGCACTCAATAATGTGTGACGGTCAATTGCAGTACAGGCTGCCTGAATTTTGTTGCATAAATCGGCCAAATCCTCTATTGGCTCTTCATACACAATATTTTTTAAATGACCCCACAAGAAAAAATCAAGGGGAGTCAAGTCTGGTGCACGTGCAGGCCAACAAATTGGTCCATTTGTTCCAAACCACCTGTCGCCATATGTGGCGTGCAAACAATCTGTGACAATTATTGCATTGTGTGGGGGAGCACCGTCTTGCTGAAACCACAAACTGCGCCGCACATTAATAGAGATGTTTTCTAATAACTCGGGTAATTCATTTTGGAGGAAGTTTAAATACATTTGACCATTTAGTTTACCCTCATAAAAATATGGTCCTATTAAATTGCCATCCAAAATACCACACCAAACATTAATTCCAAAAATATTTTGGTTGTGAGATATTTTGGTCCATTTTGGATTTACGTCTGACCAATAATGACAATTGTGCATATTTACCACACCATTGTTATGGAAACGGCTTTCATCAGTCCATAGTATTTTCTTCGTTATGGTATTATCTTCTTCGTACAATACGGAAAAATTAGCAAGAAAATCTAATCTGCGTTGATAATCATCGGGTCTCAAATGATGAACAATGGTTGCTTTGAATGGATGGAACCTATTATCAGAGAGCATTCTCTGACAGGAGGAATACGAAATTCCAGTTTCTTCCGAAATATTCCTTAATGAAATTGTTGGATTGTTCTCAACAGTCTGCAAAATTTGTGCCACATTGTCATTATTTCTGATAGTCCGTACTCGGTCACGTTTACTTTTCTGAAAGCTGCCATATTGCATTAAATTTGTTGCTAAATTTTTAAATGTTTTGTCGTTTGGCTGTCGTCGGCGATTAGGATATCGTAGCCTATACAATCTAGTAGCAGCTCTTGCGTTTCTACGGCATTCACCATAAATCATCATAATATCAAACTTTTCGGCATTACTATATTGAACCATAATGCGTTTTTTTTAATAAAGCACAAACAGAAAACCTGATTACCACTAAACTGTCATACAATTTATTGGTTATTTGACAATTATATAAATAACATAAGTGACATAAACCTACTAGATAATATTGCATATTGTATCATTTACGAATGTAAGCATTAGGGCAACTCGAATGCAGTAACTGCATCTGAACTGCATCATGTTGAACAGTGTTCTTTATAAATATTGCTATACAGAACTTCAAGTAAAAGTCAACGAAACTGTATTTAAAAAAATACGGTGTTCAAAATAAATAATGGGATATCTCAAAAAATACTAATGTTGACGAAGAAGTGTATATGACAAAAAACGTTGAAAAAAGACTACTTTTAGATAGTTATATTTTTAAAGTTCCTGCAATGAAAAAATATTTTCTCGGCGTCCCGACGCCGGCGACGTCCATCCCAATGGCATTATTTCTACACAAAAATAAAATCACACTGTATATTTAACAAATAGAACTCCCAGAACGTATATATCTTCTTTTGTTTCTAAGTAATTAGCCCGCGGAGTTTTAGCTGAATCACTCGGTATATATCACATGACTATAGTCGTGAAATAAATATAAATATATAGTTTTGATTTAGTTGTCATTGAGAAAATTTTCTGTGTGCACGCTTGTCTATCATCTATCAATGATTCTGAATCCCTGAAGTTCCCTTCTTTTCTTACTTGGTCCCTGTTATTTGTTGATATTGTTTATTTTTACAGTATTTAAGAGGAGACGAATGGTACTCTTTGGAAGCTACAAGAACTGTTAACCAAGCCATCGGCCGAGTTATCAGACATCGTAATGATTATGGAGCTATAATATTGCTTGATGCTAGGTTTAATAATTTTAAAATAAAAAATCAGATATCCAGATGGCTGAGAGACAATATCAAAGTTATAAATAATTTTGGAGAAATTATGAGAGATCTTAAAGCTTTCTTTAAAATTGCTGAATTGAATGTAAGTATAAATTTATAATATTTGAATAGAAAAAAAAATGGAACAAAGCTGTGTCCAAAATTCTCATTGGTATATGTGAACGGATAAGGGTTTAAAAGATTGGTTAGGAATGCCTTTTTCGAAAAGCGAGTGGCTCCTTCGAAGAATTCAAAATGGCGACCCAATATGGCGACTAGAAGTCGGCAGAAAAATCATATATTAGAAAAGAATATTTGTAAAAAACTCATATTAAGATCAATTTAATCAGATATAACATTAAAATATCTGTATTTGACGTGCTTTTAAAGTAACTATAATTTATTTGCGAATTTTGAATTGGCGGATTCAATATGACTCCTATAAAGCCCAAGCCACAAAAAATCAGTATTAAAGATCGCACAGCAATTAAATTTACCCCAAAAAGCTTTGTTAGGGGTTTTCGTGGATTCTGAATAATATTACCCCATACGGGTATAAGAAATCGATACTACTAACGATCCCAGAATCATTCACTTTAACTTAACAAGGCTCACTGGGGGGAGCTTTACACCCGTAGTCTTAATTTCCAGTGTCGTATTATCGAATCCCAAAATGGCGGATCCAATATGGCGCCCATAACAAGCATGAATTGCTAAAGTTTGCAGGATGCATTTATGATTGAACGACTGAATTTACGTAAATGACATTAAGGATTTGCAGAATGAGGTTTCCTTAAATTTGTTTATGCCGGGCGGGGCATATAGCATACGGAGTAGTTGTTTCTCGCAACACTGATAACTAAAACATTGCGTTACTCCCTCTGTGGGTGGCAGTCGTGCAACAAAGTGCCTGGAAATATAGCAGGTCGCTTCCTACTGTCGCCATTTGAATAGCACAGTTGGGAGTTAGCACGACAGATGGAGCCATCTGCGCTCCGCGTACAAACCTACATATATTATCGTGAAGTATACAAATGTTATATCAACTTAAAAGTAGATTGTGTCTGTTTCAAATTTAAAAGATACTATTTACTAAGAAGCAGCAAGTAAGTTTTAAATATTTTGGAACGAAATTGAACAATGGAAAAAAATTACTTGAATATAACAGTACACAGGATATTCTTGTACTTTAGATATGTCTAAAAAGAATATGACAAACGTCTAACCTACGAACAAAATTTTGAATCTAAAACCTTAATTAAATTAAATACTTTAAAAGAATTTTTTAAACAAATGTGCTATACGATTTTTTTTAATATTTTTAGGCAAGAACAATTTTAAAGGAAAAATTTAAGGTAAGTTCATTTTTTTCGCATTGCATATTTTAATTAGAAACATTAAAAAATCTCATATTAAAACTATGCTTCAATTAAATATATGACAATTCGACAAAAAAAATGAATTGGTCACACGAAAAATGCCAGCGAGTCTTTTTGGCAAATTTTTATAATGGTCTAAACAAATATAAATTTCTAAATTAATTCTTCTCATTTAAGCTTGAAAAACGGCATATTGGATCCGCCATCTTTGTATTGATAAACGTGACGCAACAATATCATACAGCGCCCTCGAGGATCCTTAAGTAAACTTTGTTTAGGTAAATTCAACCGTCATATGGATTTATTATTTATTATGCCTACATATTATGGGCGCCATATTGGATCGGCCATTCTAAGATTCGATAATTTTACTCTGGAAAATCAGACGATGGATCTAACGAACCCCCCCAATGTGCCTTTTCAACTTAAAATAAATGATTCTGGGATCGTTAATTTCGATTTCTTAATAATGTCTACGATTTTTTACCCCTACGGGCGCCATATTGGATCCACCATTTTGAGATTCGATAAATTGGCTCTAGACTATTCAGAATAATTTAGTGGTTTTTGGGCGTTATAGGCGCCATATTGAATCCGCTAATTCATGTTGATGACATACATTCAGTTTGCTACCTTTTAATAAAAAAGTTTTTTTTACATACTGGTTTTTACTGGTAGTTCTCCTTAATTAAAGTGTAGACGCTAAAAATTATCGTGTTTTTTGCCTCTTTATTGAATATTTTCCACTTATGCTGTGTCTAGAAAGTTTAAGAAACGCTCTATCCATCAAGGTTTTTTATTCAAACAACTTCAGAGATTCTAATACATCGATCTAATTTTTAAATTTTCATTTTAGTTTCCAGTTTGCGAACCAAAGAGTAGCCCACTAGCTTCAGTAGCGGAAGCAGTTCCTAACATTTCCAAACAATCCAATTTTGACTTTAGCACAAGTTCAGTTGCTGGCTCTAGTATATCAAATTCTGGAGAGGTCGTCATACATAAAAGAAGTACAAAAGAAGACCTTTTCAACCCAATGAAAAGGAAAAAAATTAACTTAATCCCTAACACGTCAAATGTAGAAAATACAGGTCCGCAGGAATACATGACGATGGTAGTTATTACTTTGATTAGTTATTATATTTTTTACACGCTATACATTGCAGGTTAGAAAGGCTTTGGATCCTGCATCACTCACAAATTTCATTTGTGCTTTGAAGATGTATGGTGATACTTTAAATTTTAGTAAATTCATAAATTTAATAGATGAAATTTTCCGAACTAAACATCAATTAAAATACCTCATTCTGGGTTTAGATCCTTACATTAAAAATTGCCATAAAGATGATTACAATAAATATTGTGAACATTTAAAACAATACTTGTAAACTACTTTTTATATTTTATTTTGTAACAAAAAATGGGCAAGATTAATTATACGTTATTAAATAAAAATACTCTTTTAAATATATTACGCAGTTATTTGTGCATCCGCCAGAAATTAGGCACTCCTACAAGCAGAGGGTCCCAGTTTTAACAGGACGAACAAATGAAGGAGGGGATAGTTACCCTATCAGTGTATAACATCCGTTTAAAGGGACGCATGTTGGTTGAGTCGTATTCTGCATTACTGACCAATAATTTTATTTCTGGGATTTTGTTTAGTGATTGGTTAATCGAGTGTTAGTAAGTAATTGTGATTATGTTACATACTTCAAGGATATAATCTAGGACACAAATGCTGTCGATTTAACCAATCTTGCTGAAACGAAAATTGTCGCAAAAAAAGTTAGTTTCTTTTTTTATTTCTTGTTTTCTCCTTGACTCAGAACCTAGTTCACCAATTTGAGCAAAATTTAGTTTTGTTTGTAGGCTTCCGTGGTTGTCGTTAATGGTTGAATGATTTCCGGGCTGGTTGCCACGTCGTCGGTTAATAACACTTGACGTTTCGAGAGACATATCGCTCTCTTCTTCAGAAGTTACTGTCAAACTGGAGATCTACTAGTCCTGTCATTATTTATATTTGATGTGGTCACTGGTCCATGATGTTCCGGTGGGTGATCTCGTACACGTTGTTGACGTTCCAGTGGGTTGCTTTCACGGATGACTCTTCCATATTACCTGGCAGATCCCTGTTGAAGTTGTTCGGATTTCTGTAAATTTCTAAAGCTTCTCCCGATTATACAGAGAAGTTTACCTGCAGTTAGCAGGTACGCTTCCTACTGTAGCCATTTGAATGACACAGTTGGGAGTCCGCACGACAGATGGAGCCATTGCCTCCCGCGTACAATGTATTTCCTCTTCGTGATGATACGACGAAGAACAGTCGTTTGTCGGTTGTCGCACCTATGACACACTGATGAGGACTAATAAATCCGAAACTGGTCTGTGCCTGGTGGGTAAACTGACAAACGATCCTAGCTGTTGCACTAGGTGTTGCGAGTATAATTCAATGCAGGTAGGGGCAAATAGCTCTCGGAGTAGTTGTTTCTCGCAGCACTGACAAATTTAATTTATTATCATCACTTCATAAGACTCTCAGATGGGAATTCTCATCATTTTTAATTTCTGTAGAAGTCATTTGAAAAAAATCTATTCTTTTTTCATCAGAATTTCCATCTGAACATTTTATGGAGCAGTGAAGTAATATTTACAAGCGATGATGAAAACACAGGCCAATAAAATTTGGTCGACCCTGTAACCTAGAAAAATGATATCGACCCATTAATGGTTTCAGCAAAAAAATTACCTTTATTAAACATAGTGTATTAAATGTAGTAGCGCTGCTCGTTTCAATGTAGTCGTACAGGGCATGAAGATTACACAACAGGATATCCCAAAGCTGATGGTAGGCTGCCATTACAGAAAAACAGGAAACCATAATCCTTATGGGATGAAAATATAACTAATTTACTTAAAATTCCAAGTTGGAAGTCTATTTAAAAAATTATATCAGAATTATAATTTCCTAATTTTATTGCTTTTTTAAAATTAAGTTATGTAACGAAAAAAGAATAAGAGTGAGGATAAATATTTCAACTTCCAGATATGTGTGTAGGTAGGTTATTAAACAAAAGTGTATAATTTCTGCTAGTATCTATTCCATTGAATGAATTAAAAGTAAAAAGGGCCTCATGGCTACGAATTTAAATATCAAACGACAATCAGGAATAAGAATAATTTAATACAATAATAAACAACTTAAACAATATAAATAACATACAATTTGCACTGATAAGTTATAGAGATTGTTCAAAATGATCACCATTTTCTCTGAAATGAAAAAAAAAAATTGAATGTGCATTTATCCGTAATAGCCAACTTTTGAATTTTTGATGATTTTTAAACGACAGCTACGATACATATTATTTGTATTTTTGTTGAAAATGACAGTGTTTAGAGTACAAGAGTAAGAAAAGTTTAGAATTAAGTACCTAATAAAATAAAGTAATAAAGTCAAAGTAAGTTAAAAAATTCTGTCACATTTTAATGGTGCATCATCCCGTATCAACCCTTTAAAATGCTTCAATTGAACTCTACTTACTGTCCAGGGTTCGTAGCGGCCGGGAATACCGGGAAAAGTCGGGGAATTCGTTATGCTTCATAAAAAACGGAATAGTCAGGGAATTTTAAAAATATTCATGAGTCAGGGAATTTTGTGAAAGCCGGCCCTGTGTTCTTGAAAGAGAAAACTATTTGTGGTTTTGAAACCTTTATAAGAGGTTCTTAGGGTATAAAAGTCCAGTTGAGAAAAAATTTAATGCATAAAACCTGGAAAAGTGAGGGAATTCTTCATTACTTTTGAACTATGAACCCTGCTGTCTATTAATGCTCTTGGTACACTCACCATGTACCAAATTTGATTTCTCCAAGTTCCAGAATAATTGATACTGATTTTTTTTCGAAATTTGAAACCCCCACTTTCAAGGCCTATAACTTCTCAAGGGTGCAGCTTAGTACAAAGGTAAGTTGTGTTAAATCATCATATTTTGGGTTCCCCCACATGGTGTATAATATTGACAAATCCAAACTGGCGCCAAAGAATAGATTAACTACTTTTTTTGCTGGCATATCGATTACTTGTACCACTTTTTCAGATGCTAGTGGATTTTACATGTTTCCATATGCAAAATAAAGCATACTCACACAATGCCAGTAATCACTGCATGTGGAAACTGCTATAGATTTTATTATTACTTATCCATAATTGGTTGCTCTTTTATTAATTCTAAGATTTGATAACTTTAAAGTTGGCCAATACAAAATAAGCCAATCATATACTCATATAAAAAGGTGCTACGACAGCATTAAAAGAATTGCAACAATTTCTTGAACTGACTTGATTGGTTCAAACAAAAAAAAAATGTAAAACCCGTTTAAAGAAATTAAAAATTTTATCTATTATAAATTTTTAGATATTATATAAAAATCTGCCCTTCTTGTTTATGACAAATGTCAGAAAGATCAGACATATTCGATATGATAACATTTAAAATATCTCTGATTTTGGCTTTTTCATTAAAATCAAAATTAGAAGTCACGAGAAAACAAAGTGAAAAAGTAAGAATAAATGGAATGTTAGGAAGAGAAAACAAAAAAAGTCAGAAAACTAAGAATTTCAACAATGATCAAGTAGAAGTGCTGCCAGAAGATTCAAAATATATATTTCGGATGGATAAAGCTATCGGAGTGGCACATATCGAATATGAATTAATTCCGGATAAAATTAAATATCAGATTGATGTTAAATGTTGGGGTCCCATAGCAAAGGCATGACAATGGCATTGGTTTTATAAGCAATGCTAAAATGCTTTATTTGTAGATTTTCACTAATGACGAACAATTAACTTTAAAAATTATAACGGGAAATGATATGGCATGGGTACCAATTTGCTTGGAACATTATTTAGATAATATAAGTATAGATGGAATAAAAAATTTACGTAATTATATTGTGAACTTTGACATTTCAAGTAATGCCAACAAATTAGGAAAATTGTGAGTTTTTTATAATCCAACGCAATCTCATATTATCTGATATTTATGATGTTTAATTTAGAGCCACCGCAGATAAAAGTAACACATTTTATGCACTTGAAAAAGAAGCAGATTGGGTAGATCGCTATTTCCAGGTCTTTGAACAGGATCCTAATTTACAAGAAAAAGATACAGAACTGAGAAATTCTTTAAAAGTTATAAAACGTGTAAGCTTATCCAAGAATGATTTCAAGTCCCGATTAAATTATTCACCACATAACTTTGGTAAGAAAAGTAGAAACTTCCCTTGAAATTTGTTTGCTTATTTATGTAATTTTCCGCATACCTATTTTCCAATTTTCCCATTTGACGAATTCTTCCATAGTTTTGGTAATGTGAATAATACAAAAGTCTCTCAGAAATTGCACCAAAAAAATTTATCACGTTCTAACATTATTGTCCATTATGCAGTCTCATTTCTTCTGACGATACCTAACTTAATTTTTTCAAATTTAACACACTGTATATTAGTACATATTTGAATTTCTCAATGAATTTAAGTCCTACTTCCTTTTTTTTCTTTTTCCTATTTGGTTATTAACCTAACATTGTATAACCGTTTACAGTCCCACAAACTCGCAAAATTCTATCAATTTCTCCAGAACTGGAACTAGAAAATGATAATACAGAAATAATCTGATACATTTCACAAAAGAAAAATATGAACTGAAAGGATTACAAAATTTGCGGGAAATAATCAAGGCGATCTTCGGAAGTAATTCGAAATAAATCGTATTCGTGTTCGTACTTGCGGGAACAAGAATTACTTCAGATGGTTCAGAATGGTTCCGAATCAGATTAGAATAAAACCAAAACAAACATCTGCGAAACTCTGAACAGTTCAAAGAAAACTCGAACGTATATTTCAGTATGATTAGAACATCTCGGAATCGGGTTATATGGGAACCTGAACAAAGCTAGTATGTACAATTTGCGTTAATGGACTGTTATGGCTTTGATCAGAGAAAATTCCGATATGTGGGGGACCAAATCGTTACAGGTTCTATCCTGCCAAGCACATAAACACGGAGAGCTCAAATGTTTAATAAAAATTTATTTCTTTAAATGGTGGACTGGGCAAATAAACCTAAGGGATTTTACTGAAGTTCACTTTCAGTGAATTTTAAGATTAATAGGTATCTGTCCCGTAATCCAGATCTTTCAGATTTTGATTAACCGAAATATTGGTTCCTTTAAAGACGTGATATTTGGTAAATATGAACTATGATGACAGTTCTGGACAGCTGGACAGATATTTTAAAAATCCCCTTCGTGTGTAGTGCCATATCTAGATGACAAACTAGAATTTAAAAATAGGTTTATTTTTCATATAACTTTTCAGTTACTGTTTTAGATGTGATTTATGATATCATTAATAAGCACTGTACAGGA